GCAAAGTTAATCACTCCCCTCCTTGCTACAAAATGTCTACCTTTATATTTCCAACCCTCACAATCAGTCCTGATAACAATTATTCACTATTGTACCACAAGAGACCTATCCGCATTTCCTGTCATCAGCCCTGCCTAGACAGATTGGATACTATTCAGTGGAGAGTCTACCTTCCTCCACTCCCTTTGGATCTAGGCTCCCTCTTGAAAGTTTGTAAGCCAGTCACTTCTTGCCTTTGTAACCCCTCCCCCCAATTTTGGGTAGCCAATGTCCAAGTTGCCCACCCCTGTCTATTCTTTGTATGGAGGGGGTGGGAATGATCCTCGCAGTAAAGATTTAGTCCCTCTTTTGATCTACTGCATGCATAGGTGTAGGTCAAGTTCATCAAATTATATCAGATTACTCTTTTTTTCCTCTTCTTTTTTCAAAGTAGATCACCAGGCCTTTCTTCCTGGTCTTAGTCTGGAAACTCAGCTGAAACCTGCCCACCCTGGATGACCTTGCTGGTATTTGAAATTCTGGTGGTATAACTTCTAGCATGACAGCAACATGCAAGCACCACTGACAGACAGTTGGTTGATTTGGTAAATAACTAATATAAAAACAAAGGAGTTGTAAACGTGGAAGTTATCTTGTTGGTGAAGGTTTCGATGTATATATTTTTACCACAATAATATGAAAAAACCAATGTGTTGGCATTGCGCCCTGTCCTAGCTTCCTGCAGATAGAGGCTGTCAGCCTGTAGGCCACAGGAAGAAGGAAAGTGAAGGACTCTATTGGGCCAGGAAGATGGAGACTTTGAGGGGGCTTGAAAAAGTTCATGGAAAAATTCTATTATATTTTAACTCTGTTTTTCCATGAACTTTTCAAGCCAAGCTCCCCTTGTATATGGAAAGCAGGTGGTCTGGGACAAAGCAGGCACGTGCATTACAACTGGGCCACATATTGCGGCTCTTAAGCATGGTTCTCCTTCTTGATTCTTGGTCTCTTTCTTGCTGTTACATACGTGTTTGGGTTCTAAAATAGTTCTTGGCTGCAGACAGATGCCATTGGTTGGAGGAATCGGTTTTGTACTGGTAATTGAGCATGGTTACTGAGGATTCGGGAAATAGTAAGGTGGGAGAATCCAGGCAGAAGAGAGAGAACTTTACTGAGAATCGGACTGGAGTGAACAAGTACTGGGGAAAGGAAATGATTTCCGGAGATCTCCAGCCGTGGGATTTAGTGGCAAAGAGCAGACAGAACCCTGGAGTGTGTCTTTTCTGCTGGCCCTTCATCCTCCTTTAAGAACTAGGGGCTGGCTCAGAAGTGAAGCCAGACTTGTATGCGTAGAGTTAGAGAAGCTAGCTTCAGTCAAGTTGCATAACTACTGTGTTTCCACAATAGGATGCAGACTGTGCAATTTAAGTGACCGAATAGATGGTATTCTTATGTCACATATAGATAGTTTGAGTATTGGGTTTAATAATGATATTAGTAATAATAATCAGTATCTGATTATTCCTTAGGTTTAAACACTGTTTAGTGGTGTTCTGAGCCCACTATATTCTTTAACTCACTTAATTCTCATATCAACCCTATGAAGTAGTTTCTTTTCTGATTTCCTCTTTTCATGAATGAGGAATTTAAGGCATTAGAGTAGGCACTTGAGACACACATACCTGGCAGGTGAGGCCTTTGGTGGGAATTCTCATCTGCCATGTGGGAGGTCAGGTTTGATTCTGGGCTGATTCACCTTAGGTATAGCCACCACCCCAATAGCAAATGAAGCATTGTATTTTGTTATGATGCTGAGCAGGCTTCCGGGGAGCTTCCAGAAGAAGCCTCACTAGGCAGAAAGTCCTGATAATCAACTTCCGGAAATCAGTCAGTGAAAACTCTATGGATCACAATGGTTCAGTGTGCACCTGAGCACAGCAGTGGTGTGAGACCCGGAAGCATTCCATTCTGTTGTGCATGGGGTCACCATGAGTCAGGGCCAACTCGGCAGTGGTTAACAACAAAGACCGTACATGGCAGAACCAGGACCGGGATTCCAGAGCCCATGGTCTAATACAGCCCCTCAAGAACAAGACGTTGGTCCTAAAAGTGAAGTTAGGTGAGAAGATATCTTTGGATTGACTTTAACTTCTATTTAACTACTGAAGAAATAAGCGGACTTGAGAAAGACAGGCCAGCTTAGTGCTTCCAGACCGTACTGAGAGACCCTGGTTCCCAGCTCACATGCAAAGATGTCTCTTTGTTAGGAAATATCTCAACCCCAGATGTTTCCAAGAGGTCAGTGAACCCTGGGGAAACAAAGATTTCTTTCTGCCCTCTCATGTATATCATAGTACCTGGAGACTCCCCGGGATAATGGCACTTGCTATTAAAGTCACATCACTTAAAGAGAGAAATTTTGCTTAGAGTGGTGGTTTGCAACCCTGTGTGTGCATCAGCGTTTTCTGCAAAGCTTTTAAATCGTACCTGTGCCTGAATGTTTGGGTCAGTGACTCTGATTTCATTACCCTGGGCTCTCCCTTCAAACCTCCTGAGATTTGACCTTGTGTGAAGACGCTGAGTGTTACCAAAAGAGATTGGACTTGAGGCAGACTCAGCAGGACACAGGCAGGTCAGCCCTGCATAGCACAGCCAGGAGCTGCAGGTGAAGCCAGGCAAGCAGAGAGGGCCAAAGTTAGGGGTTGCCAAGACAGTGCGAGATGGAATGAAACTCAAAGGACACATCTTGGCCAGCCAGGTTTATTCAGTGTGTTCATGCTAGAGTTTTACAGAGTAACCACCACAACAATAAAGCCGCCGTTAAGTCATTTCCGACTCATGGCGATCACATCTGTGTCAGAGTAGAACTGTGGGCTCCATAGGGTTTTCAGTGGCCTATTTTGAGAAATAGATATCCATGTACTTCCGGGTGGACTTGGACCTTGAACCTTTCTATTAGCAGCCAAACATGTTAACCGTTTGTAACCCCCAGGTGGGGTCATGTAGCTTCTTGTTGTTGTTCATTGCCATCAAGTCGGTACCAACTCATAGCGACCTTATGCACAGCAGAACGAAACACTGTCCGATCCTGGGCCAACCTTACTATCGTTGACATGCTTGAGCCCATTGATGCTGCCACTTTGCCAATCCAATTCTCTGGGGGTCTTCCTCATTTTCTTTTGTAGCTTAGAGGTTCAGAATAGCACAAGGGCTGACAGATAACTAAAGCAGGCTACATCCTGGGAACCTTCCTTAAGGTAGAAGACCTGAAGCTTTCTTACTAACTGACCCCTCTGAGTGCAGTTGGCGGCCAAGTTTTTGCCTGATTGTTTTCTTCTGGCTATTTGGACCTCACCTTGAGTGCAGCTTCTTAGTGTAAGAGGGACCCTCTCAGACAGTTAGGAACACAAAGCAGGTGGCAGGCACAGTCCAGCTCATTCACTTTGGATGGAATGATAATTCCTCACATAAAGCAACCGAAATGTCTACCAGATGAAGAGTAAATGCCAAAATATGGTACATACATACAATGGAATTTATTCTGCCGTGCAGTGAGCTGAATATGCTACAACATTTTGTTATTGTGCGGTCGAGTTGGTTCCAACTCGGTGACCTTATGGCACAAAAGAATGAGACACCGCCCGGTCCTGCAAAATGTTAACAGTAGGGGAAATTGTGGGAGACGCTTAGGAGAAAGAGGGAGCATTTGGGTCTCTGTACTTTCTGTTCAGTCTTTCTGTAAATCTAAAACTGCTCTAAAAAATAAAAGTCTATTTTTAAAACTGCACAGGACAAGACAGAAGGAAAGCATGGAGGGGGAAGCAGTCATGATAAAAAATGTTAATAATAGCCTGCTGATATTGTCAGTAACATCAGTTGGCTCCTCATGCTCAAACATTACAGTAATAGGTGAAGACGACTGCCAACGGTACTTCATGTTCTATCAATAGCTGATTTTCAAATCAATTCCCCAGTATCCAGGATCAAGAAAAGAGGCTTCAGGCTCTGTGGAATGCTTGTGAGAAACTACCCAAGGCCAATCACAACAATATCCGGTAAGTGGACCCTGGAGACCCTTGGGCCAGGTTTATTTATGCCCCAGACACATGGAGTCCTGGCTAAAAATGAAGATCAGTACCAGGCATGCCACTGTATAGTTTCCAACACTGTTCCAGTCAGCACACATTGTCTGTTCCAACCCTTACATAACTTTGGGAGGTAAGGCGGGACAAATAACTATTATTGTGCAGATAAGGAAACAGACATGAAACAGCATACATTTTGAGGCTGCCTAACAGATGGTTAAGCACTTGAATACTAGTTGAAAGGTTGGTGGTTTGAACCCATCTAGGAGTCTTGTATAGCGCTGTGGGCTAATGTGCTGGACTGCAAAGTCATTTGAACCACAAGGTCGGTGGGTCAAGCTTACTGGCCGCTCCTTAGATAGGGTCACAATGGGTCGGAACCAACTGGACAGCATTTAACAACAACAACAACAACAGAGGCTCCTTGGAAGACAGGCTTTTAAGATCACAGTCAAGAAAACCCTGTGGAGCAGGTCTCCTCTAACACATGAAGTTACCAGGAGTCAGAATCAACTTGATGGCACCAGGTTTGGTTTTGGTTGGTAACTGTTGTTGTTAGGTGCCATTGAGTCAGTTCTGACTCATAGCGACCCTGTGCACACCAGAATGAGACACCACCTAGACTTGTGTAACCTATCGTTACGTCTGAGCCGGTTACTACTGCTGCTATGCCAGTCCATCTAGTTGTGGTCGTCCTCTTTATCGCTGACCCTCCAGTTTACCAAGCATGATGTCCTTCTTCAGAGACTGCTCCTTCCTGATACTATACATGAGAGACAAAGTCTCACCATCCTGGCTTCTAAGGAGCACTCTGGCTTTGCTTCTGCCAACACAGATTTGTTTGTTCTTCTGGCAGTCCATGTACTTTCAATAGTCTTCTCCAACATCGTAACTCAGATGCATCCATTTTTCTGTGATCTTCCTTACTCATTGTCCAACTTTCACATGCCTATCAGGCTATTTAAAAAACCATGATTTGGGTCAGGTGCACCTTAGTCCTCAAACTGATACCTTTGCTCTTGAGTATTTTAAATCGGTCTTGTGAAGGAGATTTGCCTAAATGCCATCCATTGTTTGATTTCTTAACTGCTACTACTTCCATGAGTTTTGATTGTGGATCCGAGCAAAATGAAATCTTTGACAACTTCAGTTTTCTTTCCATTTATCATGATGCTATTTATTGGTCCAGTGGTGAGGATTTGTGTTCTCTTTATGTTGAGATGCAGTCCATACTGAAGGCTGTAGTCTTTGTTCTTCATCAGTTAAGTATGTTAAATCCTCTTTATTTCTAGCATATCCAGATTTGTGTCATCTGCATATCACGGGTTGTTAATGAGTCTCCTCTAATGCCATGTTCTTCTTCATATAATCTGGATTCTTGGATTATTTGCTCAGCATACAGGTTGAATAAGTATGGTGAAAGAATACAACCCTGGCACATACCTTACTGATTTGAAACCATTAAGCATCCCTTGGTCTGTTTAAACAATTGTCTCTTGATCTATGTCCAGGTTCCACATGAGTACAATAGAGTGTTCTGGAATACCCATTCTTCAATACCCATGCCTTGAAATGACCCACACAATTGAAAGTCTTTGCGTAGTCAATAAAGCACAGGTAAGCATCTTTCTAGAATTTCTCTCTTTCAACTAGGAGCTATCTATGTCAGCAAATATATCCCTTGTTCCACATTCTCTTTTGAATCCAGCTTGAATTTCTGACAATACCCTATCTATGTACTGTTGTAGCCGTTTTTGAATTATCTTCAGTAAAACTTTACTTGCATGTGGTTTTCATGATATTGTATGGTGATTTCCTCATTCTGTTGGGTCAAGTTTCTTTGGAATGGGCATAAATATGGATTTCTTCCAATCAGTTGACTAGGTAGATGCCTTCCAAATTTCTTGGCTTTGATGAGTGAGTGCCTACAGTGCTGCATCAGTTTGGTGAAAGATTGAAATTTGTTTTCCATCGATTGCTGGAGCCAAGTTTTTCACTAGGGCTTTCATTGTACCTAGGATTTCTTTCAGTACTGTAGGTGCTTGATCATATGTTACCTCTTGAAATGATTGGACATCGAACATTTCTTTTTGGTACAGTGACTCTGTGTACTCCTTCCATCTTATTTTGATGCTTTCTGCATCATTCAATATTTTGCCCATAAAATTCTTCAATACTGAAGTTGAGGCTTGAATTTTTTTAATTTGAGAAATGCTGGGCATGTTCTTCCTTTTTGGTTTTCTGATTCCAGGTCTTTGCACATTTCATTATAATATTTGACTCTGTCTTCTACAACTGCCTTTTGAAAATTTCTGTCCACCTCTTTTACCTCCTTATTTCTTCCATTCGCTTTAGTTTCTCCACTGTCAGAGTAAGCTTCAGCTTTCTTTCTGACATCCAATTTGTTCTTTTCTTTCTTTTTAATGACCTTTTGCTCTCTTCCTGTATGATGTTCTTTATGTCATCCCACAACTCTTCTGGACTTTAGTCATTAGTGTCTAATGCATCAAATATTTTCTTGAGATGGCCTCTAAATGAAGGTGGGATATGTTCAAGATCATATTTTGGCTTTCGGTGATGTTTTATTTTTTCTTTAGCTTCAGTCTCATCTTGCATATGAGCAATTGTTGCTCTTTTCCACAGTTAGCCCCTGTCAACTGTTTTGACTGATGATACTGAGCTTCTCCATGGTCTTTTCCCACAAATGTAGTCAGTTTGATTTCTGTGTTTTCCATCTGGTGAAATCCATGTGTATAGTCACCTTTTTTGTTGTTTAAAAAAGACATTTGCACTGAATAAGTTGTTGGTCTTGCAAAATTCTATCATGTGGTCTCCACTGTTTCTATCGCCAATACCATATTTTCTAATAACTGATCTTTCTTCTTTGTTTCCAGCCTTCATATTCCAATTGCCAGTAATTATCAGTACATCTCGATTGCATATTTGATCAATTCTGAGTGAGGATGTTGGTAGACTTCATCAATTTCATCATCATGTGCACATACCACATTTTCTTTATTCATTTGTTATTTGATGGATAATGGATAGATGGGTTGTTTTGCCCTCTTGAACTATAATGAATAGTGCTTCTATGAACATTTGTAATGAAATTTTGTTTGGACTAATCATTTCTCTTGGGTTTATACCCAGGAGTGAAATTGCTAGGCCATATGGTAACTATGGAGTTCTGGCACTGAACTGCAAAGTTGGTTTGAACCTCCACACCGGCAGTTCAAGATCACCAGCCACTCCTCGGAAACCCTATACATGGTTACTCTGGGGTCAGAACTCACTCAATGGCACTTAACAACAACAACAACATGGTAACTTCTACTTCATTGTGCTTAACTTTTACTTCATTGGTTCTCTCTAGAAAGTTCTCCTGAGGGTAATCCCAGGGACACCACCCCAGCATGTGAATGTCCCTGGCACCAATTGTTGTCATTATCCTTGTTGTTATTGTTCCAGGTTAGAGTGACCCTGTGAACAACAGAAACAAACACTGCCCTGTTCTGTGCCGTCCTCACAATCTTTGCTGTGTTTGAGCCTCTTGTGGTAGCCAGTGTTTCAATCCATCTGGCTGAAGCACTTCCTTGTTTTTACTGACCATCTACTTTCCCACACATGATGATCTCCTCCAGGGACTGGCCCTTCCTGCTGACATGCCCACAGTGTGTAAGATGCTGCCTTGCATACTCCCATCTGTGGTGGGCCCTTCTGGTCCTACGTCTTCTTCCAAGACTGATATTTTTGTTCTTCTGACAGTTCATGGTATATTTAATAGTTTTCACCAACATCATAATCCCAGATCATCAATTCTTCACTCTTTCTTATGCATTATCCAGCTTCTCCATGCATATGAGATGATTGACAATACCCTGGCTTTTGTCAGGGGCACTTTAGGCCTCAAAGTGACATTATTGCTTTCCAACACTTTGGAAAAAGGTCTTTTGAAGCAAATTTGCCCTATGCAATCTGCCGTTTGGTTTCTTGACTGCTGCTTCCATGGGTTTTGATTGTGGATCAGTGATACCTAGCTCCGTTGTTTGTCACCTGTGTACACAGGGAGGATGGCAGGTGACAGGGTTTGGGGAGAAGAAGGGAGATTAGGTAACTGTATACTAAGTTGAATGGAGCAATGGAGTGCTTTACTGGCCAGAGTCCGTGGAAGGAGGCACTAACATCTAGCTGACTGATAGCTGAGCCTCTTCTCAGAAGAGAACCTAGCTTTCCCATTTCCTGACACATGAAGTGTCTTCATTATGGTACAGCTTGTCTGAGTCAAACTATTAGTACGATATGCTACAAGAAAGAAGTTTCTACCTGGTCCTAGAGGGCCCTGGCTGATGCTGAACCCGAGTTATAAACAACACTTGTCATTTCCTTTCAGGTACTTGATCAAATTTTTATCCAAGCTGTCAGAGTTTCAAGATATAAACAAGATGACGCCCAGTAACATGGCAATTGTGTTAGGACCCAACCTCCTGTGGCCACAAGCAGAAGGGTGAGTACAGTAAAGAGAAGAAGGCATACTGGTGATGGAAATGGGGTGGACCCATGTGGGCAGGACAGCCAGACCCTAGACAGTTGCCAGCCTCATTGATTTCTCATTATTCTTTTGTCTTGGCCCGCTCTGGGAGGGCCGAGAATTTTTCTGCAGCTCTTTCTCATTGACAATCTGAGAGCCACAGGTGAGAGTGAAGGTCTTGTCTGAATCAGTGTTAGGGCCAGGAATGTGATGACACCGGAGTCTTCCTCCCAGCACCAGGATGTAGAGCCAGAGAGGGCTGGTTCCCAAGAGAGCTCAGATTGGGAAGGAGCGCCCGCCTGGCGGTTAGAATAGTGATGATTTCAAGTGCGTTACTCACCCAGCATCTCTGTACGGGAGACCATTGTGGTTATCCTTATTCAAGAGATGAAGAAAATAGCTCACAAAAGTGTTCTCCCCAAGAGAAAGCCTGCTCCCAAGAGTTGGTCTTTGGGGCTCCTGTCCAATCTCCCTCCTTGGGTGCTGTGGTCCCTGACCCCTGACCTGCCTCAGCTGACAACCCCACCTGCCTGTCCATACCCCCCTTCCCCCCCCCTCCCCGATTGTGTGTTTTGCAGGAACATCACAGAGATGATGACCACAGTTTCACTGCAGATTGTCGGGATCATCGAACCCATCATCCAGCATGCTGACTGGTTCTTCCCTGGGGGTATGTGGTGGTGTTCGTGTGAGGGGAGAGAGTTGGGGAGCCAGGGTGTGGAGGTACCAGGGAAGAGCAAGAGTGTCCCTATGAGTTTTGAGCCTTAGAAACCAAGTGCCAGTAGCCAAAGATTTTTGTTTGTAGCGTTTTCTCCTATAAACACACATCTGTGAGGTGGCTTTAAGAAGTTTGTAGAAATGAAAAGATAATGGAATTTTTCCACTCACTTTTTGAAGCCTGCTCATACACTTAGGTAAGGGGGTAGGGTCATGGCTGTTTTCTGACCCCTAATGCCTGTCCATAGGAAATACTGCCCTATAAGGTGTTCACAGCCTCCATAACCATACACTTGGATGTTACTGGTCTTCCATCCCATGCCATGGGACTCTTTATACCTATAGATCATTGCAGTTGGTGCAGGACAAAAGGAGGAATCCTCTTTCTGAGAAGACTCACCTGATCCAGACTCTTCATAGGTGCAGAGGGAGGCAGGGGCTGGGATGGGGACTTTATTGTCATCTGGGCACAACTTTTGCTTCTCTGGGGCTGTGTCCTCTGAGTTGCCCCTCAACATGGAAAGGTGGATCTCAAAGACAATAAGCTCTAAGGGAGACTCCATGAGAAGTCATTTCAGAAACGTTCTGGGTCAAGGATGATGATGACTCTCAATTCTCTTTGTACACAAAGAGTTGATACCATACTGTATGTTTGTTGTTGTTGTTGTTATGTGCCGTCAAGTCGGTTCCGACCCATAGCGACCCTGCACAGGGTTTCCGAGGCTGTTAATCTTTACGGGAGCAGAAGGCCTCATCTTTCTCCCGTGGAGCAGCTGGTAGTTTCGAACTGCTGACCTTGCGGTTTGCAGCCCAATTCGTAACCACTACGCTACCAGAGCTCCTTTTTAGTTGACATTAATTAAAAACAAGCCATTAACCCATGTGAAGACCAAATGTCCGTGTGGAAAGCAGACCAGTGCTGAGGTGACGTGGAAGACTTCTGATGGCACAGCATTGGGTGAGGGTTCCGAAATCAAGATGATTTCTGTCGGTTCTGTGGATGAGCTAGTTCACTACCTTGGCAGACACACAGGCTGTTACAAGGAAAACCCAGGCAGAGGATTTCTCTGTATATATTTGTTAGCCCGCAGCCTTAGGAAAATCATTAAATATTCATAAACCTTTTCAATGTATTCTCTTTGATTTCTCAGAAAGACAGTGTCCTCATCTACATATGACAGCATTGTGTCCAACGTTGTTTTAGTGACTAATTGCACCAGCGACTTGAACACCAACTGTTCATTAACAGTGACGATAAAGCATACTGTTTAACAGTGGGCAGTGCTGTTTTTCCTGATTGTATTCCTACTGCTCTGGTGTTCACTGTTAAGTGTGAGGTTTGCTAGAGATACAGTCTTTTTTCTTTAAGTACCCATGTGGTCCTCTGTCCCAAGATGGTTTTAATCACAGATGGAAATTGCTTTCTCAAGTGCCTACCACGGTGATCACATGTGTTTTCTCCTTTGGCCTATTTATTTATATGATGAATGATAATGAATCACGTCATAGCAGTTGCTAATGTTAAACCATGGGACACAATTCTCTAAGGGTGGACTATGGAAAGGAAGCCTTTTCTGCTCTTGCTTCCCCTGCCTGCAGAGTGTGACAGACCAGGTAATCATGCACACCCATTCTCTCTTCCCCACAGAGATAGAATTCAACATTACAGGGAACTATGGGAGTCCAGTACACGTGAACCATAATGCCAACTACAGCTCAATGCCCTCTCCCGACATGGACCCTGCTGACCGGCGCCAGCCCGAGCAGGCCCGCCGACCCCTCAGCGTCGCCACGGATAATATGATGCTGGAGTTTTACAAAAAGGATGGGTATGAACTGGTGCCCCTTTCTCAGCATTGGGGACTGGAGGGGTGGGTGAGGTACAAGGAAAAGGTGGGAGTCAGCCAAGGTCGCACTTACTAGCAACAGTTTATTAGGTGACTTGTGGCAATTGAACTATTCCCTCAGTCTTGACTTTTTCATCTGTATTGTTTGGGGAAAGCCTATTGGCTTTTTCCCCTTGGGACAGAGGTAAGTACAGCCTTCAGTTGTAATCCGGTGTGGATTCATTCTCATAAAAGGAAAAAAACAAATGGGTCATGGGGGATTTAAAAAAACAAAGATGCATGAACACTAAATTAACTCAATATTTATAACTGTATGTCAGGTCTGGGATCTTTTGCCATAGGGCTTAACTTTATGGGCCTGCTCATTTGTGTTCATCAACATTCTTACACAAATAACACCTTGAATGCTTATTGGAACTTTCCCAGTTTCAAAAGCCTAAAATTTGAAGTCATCTATGTGTGAGATTTTTCTATATTTTTCCTGTCTTTTATGACACCCATACCTGGTTTGTGCACATGTTAAGAGGTATTTATAAATGCATTCAGTGTGGTATGTATAGAAACAACTCTCTGCACACTCATACTGTGTCTCTATAATATTTATTTAACTGAACAGTATGATTCTCAAAAGTAAAGCGGGCATAATAGGTTTCCTGACAGGCACAGCTGAGTTACGGTGATCATCGAATCAGATACGGCAACCAGAGACTGTGTACTTAAGCGAGGGCTCAGCAAACAGAAGGCATCAATTAATGTGTCTTACAGAAGGGATGGGTTTGCGTCGTTGGTCAAGCAAGTCAGTTAAGTGAACTTTAGTTGTTGTTAAATGCCTTCGAGTAGATTCTGACTCATAGTGACCCAGTCTAGGTTTTCTGAGGAGCGACTGGTGAGTTTGAACCACAGTTCAAACTGACCTTGTGGCCCTGCGCTTATCCTACAGTGCCACATCACACTTCCAAACTTTGTACCAACTCGTAGCGAACTAGGATACAGTTTCTGAGGAGCAGGTGGTGGGTTTGAACTGCTGACCTTGTTGTTCACTTTCCAGTGCTGATTCTAAAGCATCACACCAGGATTTTTTTTTTCTTTTTCTGGTTAGCAATGAAATTTGGTTAGCAATTAAAAATTACTATGAAATAAAATTCAGCAAATGCTCCTTCAGGCTGGATGGGAGCATGAAGTACTGGAGTCTCAGAAATTCAGACACAAGAAAACAAAGCTGCCACAGTCTTTCCTTTCCTGGACAGAACATTCAGCAGCCCGAAAGATCTGTTTGAAAGGCAGTTGGCCTAATGGATTGAAAGGGAAGGCTGAAAACCCGAGAACGTAGAGGTCTTCTTTCCTGAGAAGACCTAGAGTCTTGTTTCCTGTGAGGATGGTGGCAGCAGCTTTGGAAGGAATGATCAGTATCCCTGTACGTTACCCATAAGAGACCCTTTCTCTATGGGGAAAGAGGAGGCAGCTGTGTGGATTGTTCTCCATCTATCCGGGAAAGATAAAAAAGGGAGAGTCTTAGACATTCATAGAGTAGGGGAAAAGTCCTTAAGTTTATGTAAGTTTAAAAGGAGCACTTTTTAAATGTGATCTTCGCTGACAGAGAATGTGAATACATTAGCATCTTACTCTGATGGCCACAGCCCGCAGCTGTGATTGTGGTCACAACTGTACTTTGGAGTCACTCACTTCCTTTGTGAAATCTCCATTGATGAGAATACCAGGAGGATGAGCTACAGAAATGCCTGGGCTGTAAACTAGTTAACATCTTTGGTGCCGTGTGTTTTGCATCAGAGGGAGGGATGTTACTGTGTCCTTCATGCCAGACCTGGTAGGATTCCCAATGCCTTCAAAAAGCAATCTAAGTGTCCTTGAAGAGGGAGTGAATCATCGTGGCTTCATGGTGGTGTCAAAATCCTCTGTCCCACTCAAGTAGCAAACACATGCAGAAGCTTGAACAATGATTTTTTAAAGCAAATGCCTCGCCAAGGATAAATCCCTCTCACCTGGGAACTTTGTAGTGATACGCCCAATCTGGGCTATTCGGATGGAAAAGAATTGACTTAAATTTGTTTCATGAGTTAATTTTGAAATGAACTAACATTAATTAAGCCTTAAATTAATTGGAGGTCTTTGCAGTTTAAGGTAATTTCTCACTGAGTTTTTAGGGATGTTTTAAGGTGAAGTCAGCTTGTTCTCAGTAAGAATCTAAAAGATTAAACCTGCCTAGAATTGCACATGCTGTGGAGAAGAGGAAAGTAATTTACATCCATTGAATCTATTTGATAGTTTCTTAACAATTGTGAGAGATTTTTTTGTTCTCTGGAGATTTTAAAGTCTTTGAAACACATTTGAAAACCTTCAAACTATCCATTGAAATAATGACAAACTTCATTTTAGTCTGAGTTAAAAAAGAAAATATGAATTATATCTCAGAACACCTTTTTGTTTTGTTTTTAAATACTGGGTAAAATTTGAAAGAAAATGGCCAGTGATGTTTTTTCTGGGTATGTAGGTATTACATGCTAGACATCAAAGTAGTATGTATGGGTGGTCTCTTCCCCATGGACTTGATGCCTCTCCGATTCTGTAGTAAGAAGCTGGAGTCAGATTCAAGAACTCACATACACATTTCTGATTTTGTGGTAGGCAGAATAGAACTTGGGGCTCTTCTCATTTCTCTGTGCCGTCCATGCCAATCAGTTAAAACTAGTTCGAAGCCCTGCTTTAAAAATATGATAAAGTTAAGGATTTCGAGATGAGATTTTCCTGGATTATCCAAGTGGGCCCAACATGTAGTTAACATGTTTCCTTATTTGATGGAAGCATAGGGAGATTGGACATTGCCACAAAACAGAGGAGAAAGCAATGTGAAAATAGAGGAGAGAGAAGTTTGAAGATGTGGCCGCAACTCAGAGTGCTGGCAGTGACCAGAAGCTAGAAGAGGCAAGGAGCAGAGATACTCGCCTAGAGCCCTGATACTGATGTTGGCCTTCTAGCTTCTAGAAGTATGACAACATGTGAGACTACACATGCTGTAGTTTAAAGTCATCACGTTTTTGAGAGTTCATGCCCACAGCCATAAGAAACCGATCCAGTCACCCCTAGAAGCAGTGGCTCTCAAACCTGACCTCCCACCCTCACCCCTGGAGCTTTGTGTTAAAGAGGACTGTAAGCCCTTTCCTTCGCCCCTCTTCAAGAGTTGGGATCTAATTCCCCTCCCTTTGAATCTGAGTTGACCTTAGTGATTCTGTTGACTAATAGAATGTGACACATGTGATATTCTAGAATTTATGACAATTAAGTCAGAATCTCTGTACTTTATTCCTGGGTCTCTGGCAACATTCATTCATGGAACCCAGCCACCGTTCTGTCTGGCAGTCCAAGCATCCTGAGTGAACACCCTCAGCCCTCAGCCTCAAGTTCAGCAACCAATGATCCACCAACACCAGCTTACTTGAGAATCCCAAGCCATCTCACCTCCCTCAACTAATTCTGTGTAGAGTGGACAGCCCAAATTGTGGGTTCATGACCAAGACAAACAGGACACTGAGTTTTGGGAGGTTTCATTATGCAACAACAACAAGATAACCAGAATAGACTTTTAAAACAAAACACACAGATCACTAAACTGATGTCTAGCTCTCCCCACCCCTATCCCACCCCATCTTCCAATCCGATTTTGCTAGCCTGAGCCAGGAGTCAGCAGCTACTTTTTAAAGTGCTCTCGGTGATGCTAATGGCCATCGAGGGGTTGAGAACCACTGAAGTACAGGTGGATTCTGCCATTCTGAATAAAGGATTTGGTGATGGTACTTTTTTAAATTTATAAAATGTTTCCTACTTTAGACATTAAATGCAGATGGTCCTAATTCTGCCAGGACTCGGAACAACAACATATCCACTGCTTCCTTGATTTTTCTAAGCTCCCACTTACAAAGTTTAGTGTTTATGTTGTGCGGCTTTTTAGTGTCTCTTTTGTTTTATATAATAGTGAAATGTGGTTCTTGAATCCTTAACCCTAAATAATAGTGTTGTTGTTGTTGTTGTCAGGTGCCATTGAGTCGGAACTGACTCAAAGCGACCCCATGCACAGCAAAACAAAACAATGTCCGATCCTGGGCCAACCTCACTACCGCTGCCACACTTGAGTCCATCA